CTTCCCAGCATTTAATCATATCTGAATTTGTACTTAAAATGATCTTAGCTGCCTCTATTAGAATGTAATCTCCATGAAGGCATGGGTCTCTGTCTTGCTGACCACAGTATCTCCTGTACCCAAAACAGTGTTTGGGACATAGATTCCAAGAAATGTTTTTTTGAATGATCAATACTGGCAGTAGGACCTGGAGTATGTCACCTAACCTCTGATTCTATTCCATTTATAAAATGCAAATATCCAATTGCCTCCCGATTATGAGTATCAAATAGGAAGACAAATGTGAAAAGGCCTGGCAATTAATAACTACATTTGGCAGCTAATAAACTCAGCACATTTTGAGATATGAGCTATGCACCAATCCATCACCACCTCTCTATCTCCCTCTCCCTTCCAGGGCCATGTTGGTAGCTCATGTTAACTTTTCAGTGGGATCAAAGTGTGTAGTAGAGTGGTGGTAATTGGAGGGTGGGTGCTATAAATTCACAGTATTCTTCTGGGTCCCACTGTATCTGTTTGTAAGCTATGGGTAGATATTTGAGTCATCCACAAAGGTATCCAATTTAGTAATTTAGCCCACTTGAATTTCTAGTCTTTGGTTTATAAACTGGTATTTTTGAACAGGTAATAAGGCCTAAGCCAGGCCTAGTTAATATATGCTGGATGGTTAACTTATAAGATCTTCAAAATAAAACATACCAATAGTATGAACTGAAGGGAATATCTTGGGGTGGGATAGAAGGTAAGAACAAGAAGAGTCTCTCCAGCTTTTTTCCCAGGTGGTTTTGACCTCAGTCTTAAGTTAAAGGACAGAGAAAGGGTCCAGTCAGTACTTATGTCTGTAAAAGGGCTGTTAAACAGCATCTATGCTAAAATGAAACTTGGAATGTAATTTCTACTTAGCAAATTTGAGTGATTTTCCTTTTTAAGTATGTAGATGCTTTGTGGCTCCCAAATGTGGAAAAAAGAGATTAATTCAGATGATGGAGAAGATAGCTCAATTGTGAGGTTTCTTTTCCATCAGAGCAATAGGGCAGAATTTGGACTTAGTAGCCAAGTTGGTCCCTCCATTTTAGTAATGATCTTGTACCTTCGAGTCTCAGACATTGTTTTATTCTTTTCCTTCTTCCAGGAAAGGGCAGGGCTAAGACAAAACACAATGAATAAATTTTTGCCTTTAATCTACAGGTGATACACCCAAGATGCCAGGAAAGAAAAAAAGCTGGGTGACATACTTCTCTGGCATTTTACAAGTAAGCAATTGGACTCACGGGCTGGAGATAGGTTGGAGTCACCTACACTGGAAACCAACATTCAACATCCATCAGTTTTCAGATTCTTAAATAAAAAAGCTACAGGAACTGTTACATTACATCCACACAGAAAACACAAGCCAAGCCAAATGAATCAGCTTTCTCCAAAACCTCAACACCAAAGGCTTTTTCTTTACAGGACTGTTAATGTTTCACTCCATGTTGCCAAACAAAACAAAACACACTTTCAGCAAGGGCATCAGAGACTTGGTGTTGGGAAATACTTGCTTTCATTTGGGGCTGAAGTCTGATCTGGCATCCTTTATTCTCATGATGTCAACTTTTCCACTTCCACCCCAGGAAACTCACTTAAATATATATGTTATCACTTGCTATCTAACAAAGTGGAAACAGATTGTAAATACAGGTTAGCCATTTCTAACAAATGCTAGGAATATTCCAATGCAGCTATTTCAGATGAAGTGCTTGAAAATTACTTATTTGTATTAACATATACTAGTAAATGAATTGAGAAGCTCCATGTAAAATTTTGGATGCTTGTTCCTACAATGACCACTATTTACTACTACATGATGCTGCAGTTGGGATGGGCTTCCCTGATTTTTAATCATGAGATCCTTACAAACTAAGTTCTTTTGCCAATTCTTAATAGATTTCAAGCTTTAGTAAGGAGTGTATTCTTGTAATCTCAAAAGCAGCAGAGAAAGATGGTAGTTTTGTAAGCTTGGACACCAAGCCACAGCTTTGACATACAATTAAAAGAATGAGGCTTATTTTCTTTTGGGGTAATGTTGGTGAGCAGATAACATGTGCCTATGCATAACCACAGGCAAACTTTCAAACTCATCCCCATTTGCGTTCTACCCATTTTAATCACTCCTCCCCATATTGTTCTAGAGCTGCACTGTCCAATGTGGTAGTCACTACCCACTGTGATTATTGAGCATTTGACATGTGCCTTATCCAAACTGAGATGTATTTTAAGTGTAAAATACATACCAGATTTTGAAAACTCAGTATGAAAAACAAAACAAGGTAATTATATAGTAATTGAAAAAATATTGATTACATGCTGAAATATTTACTGGGTTAAATAAAACATTAAAATTAACCTCTTTACATGTTCTCTTTTGGAATGTGGTTGCTAGAAAATGTTTACTTACATATGGTGACTTGCATTATAATTCTACTGGACAGGACTATTCTAACACATTTGGTGCATAAGAACCTATTGTGATTTTTTAAAAAGTAGGTACACCATAGTCACCAACTGCTATTTCAACCAGTATTTCTGAGGCTTCAGGTTCCCATCCTACCACAGACAAAGAGAAGAGAAACCTCGGACCAGCATAATGCCTAGGCTTAACAGGAGTACAATATAGATTTATGTATTAGCTGAGAAAATGAACTTGAAATTCAGATGAGCCCTTGTTCACTCCACTAATCCCTTGTTCCCCAAATATCATACTAGCTTTAGCAGTTATATTTGAATGGTGATGGACAATTATGGCCATGTACATCTTTTAAGGTTTTGATAATATTTTATTACCGATTTACACATCTCCTTGCTGAAAAGCTGGTTCCTTGTGGGTGAGGACAGTCTTTCTCCTTGTGCTTCAACTGTTGAATGAGCGGTGATAATCTTTTCAAAGTATTCATCTCAGAAGCCATTTACTTATTCTAAATACTACAGCACCTATTATTTGGAAACGCCTTGTTTGCGATTGCCTTTAGAGTGCATAGTACATTCCTGAGTATGCTTAAGAGTGGCACTCTCTAACCATTCAGAAAAAAGATAAGTCTTGGAAACACCAATGATTCATCTCAAGGGTAGTAAATAAAGTGAACAAACCGAATAGGGTTGCTTCTCTCGGTGGCTCAAAGTTGTTTCTAAAAGCTATTTAAACAAGTTCCAAGTATCTTCTGAGTAATGATAATGTTCTTGGAATGCCTATGGTTGCCCACAGCAACTAACTTTAAGGGGCATTTACTTGGATGCCAATAAGCTAGCTGGCATACTTTATTTTTTGCAATTCTTTCTAGTCATTTCAAACTTCAAGTCATAGTTGGGGCCAAGAGTACATGTAATAAGCAGCTCAATTAAACAGTAAAGACTTTCCAAATTTTTATTCTAACGTACTTGCAGACTTTTGGAAATGAAACACCATGATTCCTTTAGCTCCAGGGTGATTACAAGGATACACTTAACCTGCCAAAATGAAGGTTTACATTATTCATTGTGCTAAGGTGTATTTGGTAATGCCCAAGGTGATTTACTGAATTTGCAATGTATGACCATTAGCCCTCAAGAAGAAACGATTTGCCCTTTTAAGTTTTCCTTGGCAAACCAGTCAAAACTGATGTTTATTGTTTTTGTTTTTTTTTTTGTTAGAGTCTCACTCTGTCGCCCAGACTGGAGTGCAGTGGCCGCTCCCCGTCACCACAGCCTCGATCTGCTGGGCTCTGGTGATCCTTCTGCCTCAGCCTTCCAAGTAGACGGAACTACAGGCGCGCGCTACCACGCCCGGCTAGTTTTTGTATTTATTGTAGAGATGAGGTCTCGCCAAGTTGCCCAGGCAGGTCTCGAACCCGCGGACTCAGGCAATCCACTCACCTCAGCCTCCCAAAGGCGCAGGATTACAGGCTGAGTCACCAAGTCCGGCTTGATGTTTATTCTAAGAAACACTTCATAAGCATAAGCAATCTAGGGCTTGGGATAGATACCAAAAAGTAAATTAGAGGTCACATAGCAGTGGGATTAAGAGCACAAAGAACGCGCACCTGTAATTCCGGCTACTTGGAAGGCTGAGGCGGAAGCATCGCCGGAGCCCAGTAGGTCGAGGCTGCGGTGGCCGGGAGCGGCCACTGCACTCCAGTCTGGGCGACAGAGTGAGACTCCAACTCAAAAAAAGAAAAAAAAAAAAAGAGCACAAAGAAGATAAACTCTGGAACAAAAAAACTGAGTGGAAATACTCTGCCACTTACTATGCGACCTTGGGCAAATTACCAAACGTTTGTGCCTCAGCTTCATCACCTATAAAACGGGTGGTAACATTTCCACTTCACAGTCACTATGAGGATTAAATAATTTTTATAGAGTACTTAATACAAAACCTGACAGCAACCAGAACAGTTTAGCTATTAGTAACCCATTTGTAAGGTCTTATATTTAAATCATGTCTAAATTGAAAGACCACAAAGAAACCAGACCCCAACTTTCCTTTTTTAAAAAATGACCATTAAGAGTGGTTTATAATGTACCCAGATTTACCAAATCCTCTGTCCAAGGTGTCTGGGTCCTTTTCACTAGCCTAAAAGATACACTTTTTGGTGGTGTTGCTGTTTCAAATAATAAATTAACACTAAAATTAAAGCCCTGGGAAGGTCATGAGGTGAAGAACTGACTATACCAAAACTATCCTGAGGAACTAAGTTACGATGCCAATGAGCACCAGCTCTGTAGGCACCAGAGGAAATGAACTATAAAATGCACCACACCAGGTATCAGAATGTGGCAATCTACTTGAAACAAGGACATCTTAGTAGTGTAGGCAACATGTTTAAGAGGGTCAAGGTAGGAATGGAAAATAAACTGTACAAGCATATGTGTATATAAGGTTTTGTACAGAGAGGTCAAGCAAGGGTCAGGGCAATGGTAAGAATACAAGAAACAGCAAAGATGCACCTACTTAAATGTCATTCACATAAATCTTTCCAGGTTTCTTGTATTGGAATATGCTTTAATCTTTTATTTTACCACTCAAAGGTTAAGCCACTCAACTACACAATACATAAAATGAAAATTTTATCACATAAACCAGTACCTGGCTACACTCATAGAGCAGTGATGAAAATAAAAATCAAGGTTGCACTGTAATTCCACTTGATTCTAAAAATCAAGTCATCTGACATTGGTTTGAAGCAACAGAATGAATGTTTAGCAGATTCCCCCTTTAAAGAAAAACCCAAGGAGAGATGATCAAGCACAAATGATCACTTCATGCATTTTATTGATAGTCTATATTTTAAATCTGCAGTATGACATCTTACATAGGGAAAAAGCTTCTTCCTAAAAGATAACTATTAATAATCAAACCAGCTTTAATATGACTGACCTTTCAAGGTCCTGTTTTGCATTAAACAATTTTTAGCAGGGTGTAAAGCATTGTACAACTCCCACCCCCAAAACAAAACAAAAAACTGGGTACATTCTCAAAATTTAATACAGGGCTTCCCAACCAGGAGTCTGCTGGATAAACATTGGAGAAGGGTGTTATGCTCAGGTTTAAATGGAAAGAAAATGAGAAACCAAATAAAGCAAGTCAAGCAAATTCACTTCACTTTGTGCTCCTGTTTTTTGAGTCTCTCCCAGAGGTCAGGAAGCCCCGGTATAACAATCACTTCAGTCTTTATAGAACATACATTTATGTGCTTCGTGTTCAAAGACATAAAGGCAGCCTTTGTTACTGTTCACCCTTCAAATCCCTTCAGGCTCTTACAGGCTTCAGAAAGCTTTCCAAGATTGCTACCAGATTCTTTATGAATCCAAGTAAACATCTATACCAAAGCAGCTCTTCCTCGGAGAAGATAAAACAGGCACAGATACATAACCAGGCCTACTGCGTACCTAACTCAACTTGATACCTGATCACATGGCCCCACATCTTTAAAAGCAGCACCAGGGACAAATGGAGCTATTAAGAGGTAAAATCCAAACAATGGACAGTTAAAACACATACAAATCAGTTAAAAGAACATTAGTAATGGGGCACTAAATTGAGTTAAGGCTGGGTAGCTGGTTCAACCATACCTTAATATTGGAATAAATCTGCAAGATGAGGAACTGATACAGGAACCTTGAAATAAAGAGGCACAGTGGTATGATGGGGTTCACTTTCACTGCATGTCTCTAAGATACCTACTACTCAACCCAAGTGACTGTAAAGCAGCTTGTGTAACTTTAGTAAACAAATCCTAATCAAAATCAAGCATCTAACTAATTTTTAGAAGGTTGGAGGGTATACCTATTTCCTTCAGATATGAATCAAAACACGAAGACAATTATAAAACTGATACCAACTGTTCTGTGATTAACACCCTGATAATAGTTTTAGTGAATGCTGTAGACTTGAAGATACAAACTAGGGTTACTTAAATAAGATCACTTACTTGTTGGGAGTATTAGATAATATTTTAGAACTGTTCCAGTTAAGGAAAATAATTATTCATCTCAGAATGCCAAAAATTCTAAGGGGCAGGTACTGAACTCACAGCTATCTGTAAATGCTATTAGAAATCTGATTTAAAAATAAGTGAAATACCAGTTCCTCAGACCTTGCACTTTCCAATGCGAGATGTTACATCAATTTACATTTTGCAATGTTTTTTCAAAAGCACATAATTTACTAGTTAGCGCAATGAGTTACAACACTGTTATTGAATATTAAACATACCGAAAAATTATACTATACTTAAGGAAAAAACACACCTGACACTTTTAACATGTGCCTCATCAATTTCTTGCATTACTAAGGTACAGGACATTTCAGAAAGTAACAATCAGCATAGTCTTTTAAGACTAAGGAAGAATAAAAGTGCCCTTCAAACATGGCTTCTATGTACTTAATATTGGTCAAACATTTGACAGGGAAGCCAGTAAGGTAAAACTTAAAAAAAAAAAAAATAAGGCAGATCACAATTTTTTTTTTTTGTTCACAAAGGAACAAAAGAGAAAAAAGGGAGAATTTAAAAAAACCTCCATCTTTAAAAGAAAAATATTAACAACCACAAGGTGCCACTGTATTCTAGAATGCTGTAAAAATGGCCCTTTAAGAGGCATTTTGCAACATTTACCTCCCTATATCACATGGGCATTTGGGGAGCTAACTGAAAGTTATGGCTGATGCTTGACCCATTTCATGTCGTGGACACTTGGGAAGCAGGTGATTAACTATTAAGTGATAACCCTTCATAAATATGAGACACTGACACTAGGAGAGAACACTTGGCACAGAAAAGACATGTTGTCCTGGGGGCAAAAAACATTACTTGAGATAACATGTATAGCTAACCAGTTTCCTAAAGTCTGGATGAATTCCAATGATTATGTTCTTAAAGATTGTGTGTGTGTGTGTGTGTGTGTGTGTGTGTGTGTGTGTGTGTGTGTGCATGCACATGTGTATATACACACATATATCTCCTGGTGCTAAAGGTTTTCTTATGAACTGTACAGCTACCTACATTCCAACACTAATGTGAATACTTTTCTCAATTCCCACCTCCCTTAACATCACTGAGGTATAGTTAACATGTTCTTTTTAGAGCAAATATTCCAAATTAACATCATGGTTCATCTTCTAGTGTTGCTACAGATAAAGTCTGTACACTTTTAACGTTATTAACTCGTTCAATTTTGGTTCTAGTAGTACTAATAAATCTCAACCTTGTCAGCTGTTCAGAGTTAAACAAAACACTTCAAATGTTTCAGACTAGTAAGTGAATTTTAAAAACCATCTGAAATATTCAAAGAAATTCAGGTTTTAGTACTTTTCCCTATGCTTTAAACAATGTAAACCCCCATATTGTTTTTTCTTGTTCCTGTTAACTGCATGAAGTTCAAACCAGAAGCTTTCTGTAATAAAGAAAAAGTGCAAAGATACAAAATGAAATGTAAAGTCTTTTGCAAGAAACGCTCCCTCAAGAATAGGTGTTTGGATGCTGGTGAGAAAAAAAGATTTTTGTTTTTCATTGTGTATCTGACACCTACATCTGACCTTGTCTTCAATGTCCACAACACAAGTAATAAGTATATATTAGTCATGGACTCCACAAAATAAAAAAGTAGCAAATTTCATTAAAATACTTGCATTCATTCTACATAATCCAATGGAAATCAATGAACATTACTGAAAAAGGTGTCCACGTGCATATGTCCAATATGTGCATTCTACTGAAGGCTAAAAACTTTCTATTTCCAGTGTTTATGAATAGCTTCAATATCTACATTCATAACCAGCACTCTGCTTGAGTTACCTCTTACTTTAATACTTCACAAATGAGTAATACATCTTGGGAGGTTAGGGAGGTACCTGTTATCAGTGACTTCCTTTTATGCTTAGAATGTGCTGCAATTGTTTTTAAACTATTAAAAAATGAACACCCCTATAATGGAACATTTTATGCCAAGAGGAAAATGGATTTCTTTTTTAGCCAATTGGGACTACCCTGCAGATCTGAAAACTATAGATTACACCCTTAGAGGAAAGGAGACAAGGAGGCTCACAAATATCAAGGAATCCTGACTTTTACATTGACAATTTTTTAAAAAGATAAAATGTATTACATAAGCGCCATAAACAGTGAAATCTGCTTATATTAAAAAAAATAAGTGAAGCTTTGTTTGGACATTATTTCCTTGCAAGAGCAGTACATATCCTTAGTAAACAACTACCATATTTACAAGTTAATTTTGATACTTAAGTAGGATTGAAAGCCAGAAGAAAACATGAAAGAATGAGCTTTGAAATAATCTTTACAGCTAAGTTGATAACAGTGAAGGTAGCCATATAATTCCTAAAGCAGACTTGTTTACTTTGTAGAGTATTTGACTATGTCTGGGTAGTTAGCTCACTTTGTTAAAGGCCAAGGACATGCTCAATCCCTCTTTTGGCCTCTTAGCCTTTCCCAGAAAAGTAAATATCTGCTCCATAGTCAGACTAATCCTAACCCCAACCAGTCTCAAAAGAGAAATTAGGCAAGAGTACTGGGCTTATCACAAAGCTATTGTTACTACTAAGATAACATAAAGTGCATGTCCATAGATAGTGGGTCAGCAGTCTCATCTTCAAATATGGGCAGCACAATTAAAATCTGAATTTCAAATAATCTAACATGACTCACTTTCAACAAATGATAAAAATTCCTTAATTTTCAACTGGTCTTTAAATGTGAGATGTTAGGTCTGTGTTAGAGATATAGTAATGAAATATTAACAAGTGTGCACTGGTACCTTAAATGACAAATCTCGAAAACAACACAAATTCGAGACTTTCCTATTAGCACACACATCTGTACCAACTAAAATTCATATGCTAAAAGTGGTTTATAGTCTCTTTCCTCTACCTTTTTTTTTTTTTTGAGGAGCAGACTTATAAAAATATCAATTTAACCTGTGCTAAGTGGTAGTGGTTATTTTTTTTTCCCCAAAGCTCTGCCAAATTTGCTGATCTGCTTCATCTACTCAGGTGAAATACCAGGTCAAGCTGATGCTGCTGCTCTCACCATATGAAACCAGTTCATGCCTGCATTATTACTGTCTTCATAAAAGCTTTAAATTCTTCAGAGCAGTTTTCTTTACTCCTCCCCATCTTTCACTTCCGGCCTAAATCAAAGCTAAAATACACCATTTCCATTGGTCGTTAATGCAGCTTGATTCTGCTTTGTCCTTTCCTTTGCATGTCACAGTAGCTGTTCACATACATTAAGTATTACAGATATGTTCTGCTCTTGACATCTACACACTTACAAAAGCAGCTTTGTACTTTGTTTGGTGTGTTTTTTTTTACTACGTTGGCTCACAAAAAGCAGTTTTTTCTCATTTCTAAGCATGGTACTTTACAATTTTTAATGCATTAATACAACAGTGCATTGGAAAAGTACTGAGCCTCTACAAAATAGCTTTACATTTTTAAACAAATGAATGTGATTTTTTTCACTTACACAAGCATAGGCTTTTTAATATTTCCACAAGATAAATATCTCAATTAAACTATAAGCTCACTCTACAGTGTGCCACAGTGATGGGCTTAGGAGAGTTATCCACTTACAAAGATCCTAAACTTAGTGTTATTTACATTGACATGTTCAGTATCACCTAGTCTGAAAGGTGAACAAACAATATTCAGAATGTGGCTGAATTTTTGTCAATTAATAACTGGGAATGATATAGCTTTAAGTAATCACTTATGAAACACATACCATAACATAGTCTAAACTGGGAATTTCCTTTGCCCCTCTCTCCTATGGCATGGGAAATTTAAAGATCAACATGAAACAGGAGCCATTGCTAAGGCAGATCTTTTAAGATTAATAAAGGAGAAACTGACAAAAGTATTTGATAAATTTATCAGTAACAGACACTACCAATTCAACTGGTACTGAACTCAGATTTTTAGGTCCTAAACGTTGCTTTTTAAGTATTTCCTTTTATTCTGGAACAGAAACTGGAGAAAGGACAATGATTCCTTCAGAAAGCAATGACTCAATTCAGGTTGTTACTTTACACTTAAGCACCACTCAAAAAGTGGACATAAAAGCAAGTGATTCCTGTTTGCCCATCACTATACCAGCTACAAAAATGAGAGTTCAGATCTTAATTACACAACACTTTCTCTGTTACCTGAAGCTAAGACTGCTCTGCGACAAATAGGACAGGTAGAATTCTCTGATAACCAGCGATCGATGCAGTGGACATGGTACTCATGGGAACAAGGTAGTTTACGAAGTTTGTTGCCTTCTGTATACTCTGTAATGCAAACGCTACAGGTTTTTAATGCATCGTTTTCACCAAAACTTCTCATTGCCAAGTTGTCAATCTGTTCTTTGGTGAGTCCTCTAGGTTGGTCATCATCATCCTCATTTAAGAGGAAAAACTGAGCCAGACTAAGGAAGGGCAAAGAGCCACTTTCATCAAATGTGACGGGGGCCCTATGGCGACCCTCTCGCCTGGTACCTGATGAGCCTGATGATGAGCTTCCTTCGTTACTGCCTTCAAACACCTCAGAGCTAGTTTCTGAACTTTCACCACTGGAACTGGAACTAGGACTAGAACTAGAACTTGAACTGGAACTTGAACTGGAACTCGAACTGGAACTCGAACTGGAACCAGAACTACTGCTACCACCAGAACCCCCTCTTCCATTCCGTGACTCTGCTCTTTCCATATTTCGACTTGGGACTGAACCACTAGGTTCTGAATCGCTATCACTGTACATAAAGTAGCTTAACTCACCAAAACCTGTCATTATCTGCCTTAACATGGTCTGAATTGCAACAGATGTAGTCTCACTTAAACCAGTATTTAAGATTCTACGAATGGGAATTCTGATGGTACTGACATAGGTTCTCACACCTGCCCGCTCAGAACGTGAAAAGGTACGCCTAAAACCTCCTCGTTCACTTTCGTAAGTGACAGTATTGTTTGGTGTCTGAGACCTAGACCGAGTTCTGCTAGCTATGCTGTCTCTCTGCCGATATTCTCCAGGACGAACTCTTCTTACTTGAAGATCAAGGACTATGGTTGGAGGTCTCTGTCCTGATCCTGTAGATTCACCATTGCCAACTGTGTCTGAAGAACCTGCTCCTTGAGAGGCATTTCTTGCCCCAGAAGCTGCAAAAAGACCTCTACTTAGCAACTCAGGTCCAGATATTTGCTGTCTCAATGTCACATGATGTCGGGTTCTAGAACTTCCCTCAGTCTCATTTACCAAAGGATGCTCAAAAGTCTGAGATGAGATACTATGATGAGATCTTCGTGGCATTTCACTCATTGGATGCAGAGGTGATCTACTTCTTTCAGCTCTGGCTCTGGTTCTCCGATGGTCTGGACTCCTGCTTCGTGCTCTCCTCTGACCTCTGGTAGGTGGGACTTCTCCCGTTAATGCTTCAGATGAATTTCGTTCTGATCTAGAAGGCCTTGCAGATGTTGATTCAGATCGTGAATTTTCCACTTGCCTTTGGCTGTTGTTTTCCATATTTTCTCCACTAGAACGTCTTGTAGATGGCTCATTTTCATTCTCTGGATTTTGGCTCCCATTATTACGGTTAACATTGATCTCTAAACTGAATCTGAAATCACCACTGTTTGGATTAGTCCGGCTCACTGCTCTCCAAGATTGGTTTCCTCTTTGTCCACTTCTTGTTGTATTTCCAGTTTGTCTGACAGAGTTAAGCCAGTCTATTATAGAGTCACCATTAGACACATCATCTGAAGAGTCTCCACCTGTTTAAAACAAAGGAGTGGGAGAGGAAGAAAAAGGAACTACTAAAATTAGGACAATCATATAACAGTGCTCTGAAACTTTGTACTAAGAACTTTAAAATTACGAACATATTTCACATTTACAGATTTTTACAAACCACACAGCATAGATTTATAAGTAAAAGCAGTAAAATTCTAATTCCATTGGAAAAGAACAAGCTATAATTGGGAAGTTTAGGGAATTATTTTATTTTTAATAAAATCTGGAAGAAGTCTGTTTTCAGTATTTCTTTGTATACAGAGCCTAGCATACCACTTTGGGACCATAAGAAGATATTTTTTCAGCCCACTGCCAAAACACTAATGTAATCAAGCTAGGTAAATAAACATTAGTTAAGGTACAGTACTAGTATTTTAGTTCAAATTATATTCTGTCAAATTTTCTTTTATTTGTTTTTTAATATACATATATTTTTATTTTAAAATTGTGGGGTACAGTTAAGGGTTAGGTGTACAAATTTTGTCAAATTTTCATTAGTCTACAACATCACTTCTAGGCCCTAGGCTTATGTGCCTTTGATTATTTTAAAATGTAGTACTACTGTAGCCATAGCAAAATATAAACAAGGTTTATAGGTTTAAAAATATTTGAGTATCTTTTTTCTTGAGTCGAGGTCTCACTGTGTTGCCTAGAATGGAGTATAGTGGCATGATCACGGTTCACCGCAGTCTTGACCTCTTGGACTCAGATGATCCTTCTACCTCAACCTCTGAAGTAGCTGGGACTATAGGTGTGCACTACCATACCCAGCTGATTTTTTGAGTTTTTGTAGAGAAGAGGTCTCACTGTTACCCAGGCTGGCCTCAAATTTCTAGGCTCAAGCAATCCTCCTGCCTTGGCCTCCCAAAGTGCTGGGATTACAGGTGTGAGCCACTATGTCTGGTCCTGAGTATTTCTTAATGTTACTAAGACTTTAAATTGACATGAAATTAAAGATCAGATCAAATAAATAGGTTGAACACTGAGTAGAACATATAATGGTATATTCAAGAACCAAACTTATCATATCATCTAAGTTACATAGTCAAATTCCTATTTCACATTGGAAGTGAAACTCCAGACCTGAGTAGAGCAAGATTTCTTAACAGTGACACTACTGACGTTTTAAACCAGTTAATTCTTTGCCTTGGGGACTGTCAGAATGAGACATCATTATGGGATTATCATGGGATGTCAGAATGTTTAGCAGAAACCCTGCCCTCTACACACTAGATGCCAGTAGCAAACCCCCAGGTGTGTCAACCAAAAATGTCTGTAGACATTGCCAGTGCCCCCTAGGGGGCAAAATTATACCATTAGGAACCACTGGGTTAGAGAATGTAGCATTTCTTTTTGCTCGTGAAGAAGTCACATGTTTAAAAAGAAAGAATTAAGTAGGAGAAAATTTCAATGAAGGTGGAAAATAAAAAAAATCACTAGGCCATTTTTCACAGTGTCTCAAGTAACACAAATAGTTCAAAGGTGAGGCAGGAAAAAACATGCTGATATTTTCAACAAATATCAAGAAAATGCCATTTCTCTTCTTATGAGCAGTTACTTAGCACTAAATTAATTTAATTAAATGATGCCATTTCTGGATAATCTTTGGCTGACATTTACTATTATAAAGTTTCTATCATTCCATCCTCTACCCCCACTCCAAACAAAACATACCTCTATTTTCATCTGAGTTTTGTGGTGGCGGGCCCTCTTTAATCTGTTGTAGTCTTCTCAGCAACTCTTCCTCAGTACTTTCACCTGAAAGTTTAACAATATCCGCCAAATTACAAATGAAAGCCAGTGACTCTTACAACATACAAATATCACAGGGCAAAGACAAGATTAGATGTATGACAATCAAATACTTTATCAGTGACCCACAGCGATCTGACACAAAATGACACAAAATTTATATTTTTAAAAGTCCAGTGAAGAGAAAAATTTTTAAAAACTAAAATTACAAAAACAAAACAAAACAAAACAAAGAGAAAAGAAAACCTGTGACTCTTAAACCTCTGAGATAAAAACCAAGAAATGGCAGGGCATGGTGGCTCACGCCTATAATCCTAGCACTTTGGAGGTGGAGGTGAGGACTGCCTAAACCCAGGGGTTTGAGACCAGTCTGGGCAACTTGGAGAGACCTTGATTCTCAAAAAACAAACAAAAAAAATTAGCTGGGCATGGTGGTGTGCACCTGTGGTTCCAGCTACTTGGAAGGCTGAGGAGGAAGGATCACCTAAGCCAGGCAGGTTGTAGCTGCAGTGGCCGTTGAGTGTGCCACTGCACTCCTACAGCCTAGGCGACGGAGTGGGACTCTAACTCAAAAAACCAAAACAAAACAAAACAAGAATACCCCCAAGAAATGAGTAGGAGTCTGGGAAAAATTCACTTCTTTGGAGACATATTAAAACTTGTTTTTTACAAGGGTCTTTCTAGTTTACAAAATACTTTTGCATATAATATCTAATTTTTTAAAGTTGCAATTCTGGGAAGTAGATATTGTTATTTGCAATTTTTTTTTTTTTTTGAGTTAGAGTCTCACTCTGTCGCCCAGACTGGAGTGCAGTGGCCACTCCCGGCCACCGCAGCCTTGACCTGCTGGGCTCCGGCG